AAAAAAGACTGTTTCACTAGAGTTCACCAGTCTATTCTTTAGCTTTACTTGCCCAAATTTATTTATTTTCTCTGAGGTAAATAACCTTTTAGCCTGCCAGGTTTCATCGAAGCTACCCTTCCCATTCTTTTATATATTTTGTTCATAGATACAAACACAAGTATAATTCCCCAAACCCAGAAGAACAAACATAAGTGAAACATGGAAGGTTGTTGAAGATACCACAATGAAACCAATGTTGTAGTCACAATTCAGTCAGTGTTTTGTGATCTTGATGTAAAATATTGTCATTGGCAAGGTTCTTGTTACTATCATGAACACCTTGCTAGTTATTGCTGTTTTTGTGTTCGTGTTTTATGTTCCCTTCTAATGTTAACCCTGCCTCTCTTGGTAAAAAAAAAAAGATGAAAGTGATAACATATCTCATTTCTTGGTTATTGATAACAAATTTGTTCTCAGTTGGTGGCGGCAGACGAGGCGGTGGCCAATAAGAAGTTTGCCGATGCACAGGCCATAAAAGACGACTGTGAAAAGGAGCTCGCCAAGGCAGTACCAGCTCTCAATGCTGCCACAGACGCCCTCAACACCCTCAAACAAGATGACATACGCGTCGTCAAGGCCATGAAGAACCCGCCCTCAGGAGTCAAGCTGGTGAGTATAACCTACCAAATGATGACATTGGTTATGAAGAGTGCTCACCTTAACCTCCACTCTGACTCTACCTAAGTCTCCACTGTTGTTTTACCTAATCTTCCACTCTGACTCTACTGTCCCCAAACCTTCACTTTGCCTTAATATCCTCTAGCTGTTGACCTTAAGTCACTTTGTGCTCCTAACACACCCTGTGATCCTCACACCCTCCTAAAGATATATGAAAAGTTTTGTCCCTGTGTTGTTTTTTGTATTTCTAATCATTAGTGAAACTTTTTGAGAAATACTACATCAGTTGAGGCACTCTGCATTAGAAGGGGGTGAAGCTCCAAATTCAAAAAGCTGAGAAAAACACGTTGAAAGTTTTCAAGGTTCAAACAACCATAACTTTTTTTTTAAGCTAGAGGGTTCTTTTTTTTTATCGTGCAGCTTAATCCCTCTCCTAGCGAACTGTGACAACTGGAAATTAGTACAGTGAATAGTTATTAATTTATTGCGAGTTGAATGAAAATAACCCGTGATGTAGAGTTGTTTGATCTTCAAACCAACAATAATCGCATTTTTCTGCAATTTTTTTTTATTAATATTTGTGGGTTAATACTGTAAAACAAGTTAATGATAACCAAAAACAGCACTCGTTTTACCACCCCCCCCCCCCAAAAATAATAATAAAAACTCATTTGCCTATTAGTATTTATCTTTCCGTCCCTATTATTAGCCAAAGATTTATAATATTGTTAAGTTTAATAGTGTGTAATAATGAGGAAACACCACTACACTCATCCCACCCCCTACCATGAACCCCCCCCCAACGTAATTAACAGACGAATACAAAGGCTTAGAAAGTTTGCATATTCTTTGGTTAAGAGAGTATTCTGATAATAGTATTACAATCTTACTTTGTTTAGTTCCTTCGTTTTATTATCCCTGAATATCGTAGTAACTTGAAGTTACGTAAATCCTGAGGAGTGCGTTTAACTTAAATGGCCTCTTCATAATCAATCATGTACTGATCAAAGTCTTTTTCTGCCCTCTCTAAAAATCGCCACACAGATTCTTCATGAACTAGATCATTGATTTTTGATGCCGGCAACAGTTTAGTTTCATTATAAGATTGAGTTATGGGCTCACTTTCATTCGCATTCGTTGGTTCAGGCACACTTTCATCACTATCAAGGTCAATGCATGCCTCGTCACTGTCCATTTCTACCTCCTCACAGTCTGTATGTTCTTGTTGTGATACATTAGTGTCACTCTGTTACCATTAGACTCACTTTCATCATTTTCATCTTCACTTTCATCATCATTATTGCTGTCAGTGCATGTCACGTAACTCTGTACCGGAACATAGTCTGCAAAAAGGTCTTGTGATGCATAGCAGTCACTTTTTGTATGATGAGTACAGTGAGTTCTGCTATAACGCGTGTTTTGACAACGCGAATTTGCTCGAACGCGATTTATGAATTGAGGAACGATATTTGTAAAACGCGAACTAGTTTGCTCTAACGCGATTCCACTTGAACGGTTGTTGTGGCTTCAGTTCACGTTCGACATCACATGTTCAATTGAGTTATGTGTTTTGTTTGTGAACAATTGCAGAAATAATGTATGTAATATTTGTGTATACAGTATACCTATATATTATAAGTAAATTGTAAAATTTTACATAAAAGAGAAAATCAATTTACATAGCGTTTTACACCCGCGCTCTCTCTACATCACACACAGTGTTTACAGTTCACGTTCGACATCACATATTCAATTGATTTATGTGTTTTGTTTGTGAAGAATTGCAGAAATAATTTATGTAATATTTATGTATACAGTAAACCACTCACAAGGTCCTACAGTACCACTAATTATTTTATACTGAAACTTACGTTTGGTAAGCTGGATTAAAATGAAGATTACCGGTATATTAAAATAATAAAAATGTATTATAAACCAGTCTAACATACCGTAATAAACACAGCTGCTATTATCATCCCCCCCACCCCCATTTGCCAGTGACAAGAAAGGGAAAGTGACCTTGACTGTGACCGCCTGTGGCTATTTTTAGCCATCCTTGTGTTCGGAGGTGGTCAGTAATGCATATCTGTATATTTACTGATCATAATACTTATCTCTTATAAATAATTCATTTAAAATTTATTTTTTTGCAAAGAATATTCAGTAAATGACTGCATTAATTCTTGAAACTACCTACAATGGTAAATTTAGGATATAAATAATGAACAGAAGTCACGTCATGGATTCGGAGTTTGGTCCTTAACGATCACCATAAATGTAGCTTCCCTTTTTCGCGAAACACGTATATAAATTAAAGAAAATACTTGCAGTATATTTAATATATTACAGTATATTATATATAAATAAATAAACAAATAAATTCAAATTCCCTTATCATCCTGTGTCATATACAGAAATACTTGAGTCCCTGAGCGAGTACACAAAAAGAAAACGGAGGACTAAGACATCCTGAAGTGGGTAGAGAACGACATCTCTACTGGGGGACTCAAACGTTTCTCATGTTTCGTGGGCGCTCTAGCATAATATGAATATGTAAATTACAATTTACACATATATATATATATATATATATATATATATATATATATATATATATATATATATATATATATATATATATATATATATATATATATATATATATATATATATATATATATATATATATTGTAGTGGCTTGTGGGGTATGAGATTGTTTGGTTCACACTCAGGATGGGATGGAGAAAGGAAACTCACAATGAGCTCTCTATATACATGTTGTATTGGATGTACAATGCAGCTTGGTGCTGGGAAGGCAGCATGGTTACAAGCGTGATGTAGAGAGAGCTGGTTGGTGAGGACGCTCAGAGAAGGACAGCTTGTGGGTCGCCATGCTCGCCAGCGGGAGAGAGTACCGCCAGGCAGGCGGAGGAGCGAGGGCCGCCAGGCAGGCGGAGGTGTTGCTGGCTGGTTGGTGTAGGTAGAGAGAGAGACAGATCACCACGAGGTCAGGTCTTAAATAGCGGGGGTAGGCGTGGCTTAGCAGTTGACCCCCGCTCCGTGGTGTATGGCGGCGCTGGTTGACCTAGATCACGAGGCATACACTGGGGAATTGGTGGGGTCGGCTAGGCAGCGACAAACAGCGTTTGTAGGGGAGAATTCCACTACAATACTCCCCCTTCCCTCCAGGCTGTGTAGGAGACTTGTTGTCTGCAGGGTTGCATAGCACATGTGAGGCAGAACGGGCGGTGCATGCCTCATGTGAGACAACGGCGATGGCGTGGATGAGCCGGTCGCTGGATACAACTGTCTATATACACACTATCTGTGGGAGAAGAGAGGGAGAATAAGGGTGTGTGGAGGCGATGAATGTTGTGCTTCCCTCACGGCAGGTACAGAGTCGTCAGATGCGCCTGCTGGGGTGTGTGGGCCTGGGTCAGGAGCAGGGGCTGCGTCAGCAGAAGCGGATGAGGGCTCGTGACAGCAGCTGGGTCCACGACAGCAGCAGGGTGCAGGACATTAGTAGGGAGTACCTGAGGGAGAAAAGAGGGGGTGTGTGGGTCCGCACTCAGGAACAGAGGCCGCATCAGGGGCGGCAGGGGTTACTGCTGGGCCGGGGTCGGCGTCTGAGGTAGGACGGGTGTGCTGGGGTCGGTAGGACGTGGTGCTTGGGGGCAGGAAAAGGAGCTGGTGTCTGCTAGGAGAAACAGTGCTGCTCTAGGGTGTCTAACCTGTGGTGTAGAGACAGTAGTTGTAGAGCCGATGAGAGCTGCTTCTGTGTGGATAAGCCAGTCTTCCATGTTGCTTGAAGACTGGGAGCGTGATCAGTTTCTCCTCCATCCTGTGTGAGTGCGAATCTCCGGGAGTCACCATTTGTGGGGTATGAGATGTTTGGTTCACACTCAGGATGGAATGGAGAAAGGAAACTCACAGTGTGCTCTCTATATACATGTTGTATTGGATGTACAATGCAGCTTGGTGCTGGGAAGGCAGCGTGGTTACAAGCGTGATGTAGAGAGAGCTGGTTGGTGAGGACGCTCAGAGAAGGACAGCTTGTGGGTCGCCATGCTCGCCAGCGGGAGAGAGGACCGCCAGGCAGGCGGAGGAGCGAGGGCCGCCAGGCAGCGGCAGAGGAGGTGTTGCTGGCTGCGGCTGTAGGTAGTAAGAGCCAGATCACCACGAGGTCAGGTCTTAAATAGCGGGGGTAGGCGTGGATTAGCAGTTGACCCCCGCTCCGTGGTGTATGGCGGCGCTGGTTGACCTAGACCACGAGGCATACACTGGGGAATTGGTGGGGTCGGCTAGGCAGCGACAAACAGCGTTTGTAGGGGAGAATTCCACTACACCGTTGTTTCCATTTTCCCGTGTGATTTTATCAAGATTTATCTTATCCACGTTTTCATTGTGGATTTACATGATATATATATATATATATATATATATATATATATATATATATATATATATATATATATATATATATATATATATATATATATATATATATATATGTAAATTGTAAAAATTTAAATAAGAGAGAAAAACAAAATAAGTAGCGTTTAAAGTGTACTGTACATTGTGGCTTGGCGCGGGGTTATGCAGTGTTTACAGTTCACGTTCGACATCACATGTTCAATTGATTTATGTGTTTTGTTTGTGAAGAATTGCAGAAATAATTTATGTAATATTTATGTATACAGTATACCTGTACAGTATATGTAAAATGTAAAGTTTTAAATAAGAGAAAAACAAAATACATAGCGTTTTAGACCCGCCCGCTGTTTACTCCACACTTTGTTTGAAACACGTGAAGTTTTTAAGTGTCCTCAGTGAATTCTGATTACTGTTTCTCCAATTTTGTGACTATGGAAAAGAAGAATATCTCTGGGAAGCACTCTGGTGATCGCATTTCCGGTGGTGATCGTAAAAGAAAGGCTATAACACTTGAAGAAAAGCTTGATGTTTCATGACTCCTCAGCCTCAACATCACCCTTATCCCCATCAAGTTATATTCATATTTTTTCAAGGTAAAGTGTAACATTTACTGTATGATTTCATTATTAGATATGAATGTAACATTTATTTAGACTGTGCTATCCTTTGTGTTAGGCTAACTACGAAATTTTTTTTCGATTTGGAGTAATCTGCTGGACTTGAAGCAGAAGAGGGAGGAGTCGAGGAGGAACGGGGACAGGTGCACATGGGTTATACTCAGGGGGAGGGTAGTGGAAACAAGTGTGCCGACATAGGGCCAGGGGGCAGCAGTGCACCCTCCACCCACTCAACCCCCCACCCGGGAGGCGGCACCAGCTCAGCCTACCGGACAGGAGGGAACGAGCGCCGTGTAAACAATGACATTTTTAACCACACCCTGCAAAATACAGTGTACTTAGCAAATGCTGCAGCTTCTGAGAATGTGGGCGGAGCGGGTTTATTACTAAGAGCAGAGACGTTACCGAGAACAAATTCTGGCTTGAATGTCATGTACACTAATACCGACACGTTCCTTGATAAGAGGGAGGAGTTTGAAACACTACTAAGAGTACACCAACCAGATATTGTAGGAGTTGCAGAACTGTTGTACAAGAACAGGAGAATCGACCCAGAGGAATGTGAGTTCAGTATTCCTGGATATGACTCATTTACGAACCTAACTCAAGAATCCTGCAGGAGGGGTGTGGTTATCTACGCTAGGCAAGACCTTAGAGCCAGCCAGGCGAGGGTACAGGGAGAGGATGTCTTTGAAGAGTCCAAGTGGTGTAAAATTAAATTAAAGGGAGGGGACTTACTTATCGTCGGGTGTATCTACAGATCCCCGAACTGTGGCCCACTAAATCAAAGGAACTTAAGAACCTTAATAAACAATGCGGCGATGCTCAACCCCAGCCACCTCATTATCATGGGGGACTTTAACTATGGCGACATCGACTGGAGAAACGAGTCAACCCCGAATGACTTGAATAATCCTGCTACTCTTTTTGTAGAAACTCTGAGAGATAATTTTCTGTTCCAACATGTGAGAGACCCGACACATTACAGAGGGGAACAAACACCCAAGCCACTTGACCTCATCATAACAAACGAGGAGGGTATGGTGGCCAAACTGGAACACCTTGCCCCAGTTGGCACCAGTCACCATACAGTGTTGTCATTCAGATTTAACTGTTACCTAGTTCAAGATAAGGCCAGGCCAAGGTGCAAATATTACAAGGGAAATTACAATGGGATGAGGGAAGAGATGAGGGGAATCAACTGGCCTGACTTATTAAGGTACAAGAACGCAGACACTACGCTGAATATCATAACTAGTAAAATGACCCATTTGATCGATAAATATATACCCAAGACCAAACCCAGTGCTTCTAGGAATACGAGGGGATCCTTACACATGAACCATGCGGCGGTCGACAAAATTAAGAAGAAAACCCAGAAATTCAAGACGTGGGTTGGGTCAAACGATGAGCAAGACAGGAGGATGTATGCAAGAGCCAGAAACCAAGCAAAGATAGAGTGTAGGAGGGCTGAAAAGGAGTTCCAGAGGCTGGTTGCACGCGAGGTCAAGTCAAACCCAAAGGCATTTTACCGCTATGCAAAGTCGAAATTGAAAACGCGAGTAGGAGTATCAGACCTGAGGCTTGAAGATGGTAGTTACGCAGATTCTGACCAGGATAAAGCTGAGGCATTGAACAGCTTCTTTTCCTCAGTGTTCACAAGAGAGGATGCAACTAACCTTCCTGCGTTTGAGGACAGACGGTTTGACACAGCACTGACCCACATTGTGTTCACAGAAGAGGGTATTAGAAATAAACTGTCCAGGCTAAAGGTCCATAAGAGTCCTGGACCTGACATGGTGCATACTAGAGTGCTAAGGGAGCTGTGCAACGAGCTTGCAGAGCCCCTGAAGATTCTGTTTTGTAAATGCCTGGATGAACAAATGGTCCCCAGTGAATGGAAAGTGGCTTATGTGAGTCCTATCTTCAAGAAGGGCGATAGGCACTCCACGAACAACTATAGACCGGTGAGCCTGACCAGCATAATATGTAAATAACTTGAGAGTATTATCAGAGATGCAGCGATGGAACATCTACTACGAAACAACCTTGTAAAAGATTGCCAACACGGTTTTATGCCGGGGCGCTCTTGCTTGACACAATTGCTCAAGGTATTTGATATTTGGACCCATATTCTAGAACGGGGTGGTAATATCGACAATATTTACCTAGATTTTGCCAAGGCTTTCGACAGTGTACCCCACGAAAGGCTGAAAATCAAACTGGAAGGGTACGGAATTCGGGGAAATGTCCTAGCGTGGATAGAAGACTTTCTACATGACCGCAAGCAATGTGTGGTGATTAATGGCACGAAATCGTCATCTGTACCTGTAACAAGTGGGGTACTGCAGGGTAGTGTATTGGGCCCGCTGTTGTTTGTTTGTTTCATAAATGATATGCCTGACGTTGTACACTCCTCCATACAAATGTTTGCCGATGATGCCAAGTTATTTCGGGAAATTAAGAACCAAGCGGACTGTGAAGAGCTGCAGAAGGACCTCTGTGGGCTCCAGGAATGGTCGAAGGAATGGCTGCTGAGATTCAATGTCACGAAGTGTAAGAGGATGCACCTGGGGCGTACCAACGGTAAGGAGGCGTACCATATGTCCCAACGGGATGAAGAAAATGTACTAGTTGAGACTGTGTGTGAGAATGACCTAGGTGTGTATGTTGACAATGAGCTGAAGTTCTCGGGCCATTGTGAGAAGAAGGTAAATCAGGCAAATAAATTATTGGGTCTTATAAGAAGGTCGTTCAGATATCTAGACGGTCCGTCCCTCGTGACGATCTTCAGGAGTGAAGTGCTTCCCCATCTGGAGTACTGTCACCCCATCTGGTCCCCGAGATATGCTAGGGACTGTCAGTTGGTTGAAAATGTTCAAAGGAGGGCCACCAAACTGGTGCCTGCACTTCGGCACCTCAGCTACCCTGAGAGATTGGAGCGCCTGAACTTGCCTAGCTTATACTACAGATGGGCAAGGGGGGACCTAGTTGAGGTTTATAAGCATCTCAGGGGGCACTACTCAGTTGAGTGTCCTTACTTGGAGCTGGCGGACGCTCGCCCCACAAGGGGTCACAGCTCAAGATTGAAGAAGCCGCAAGCCCGGAAAACCGTGAGGGCAAACTTTTTCGGAGTGAGGGTTGTAAACTCTTGGAACAATCTACCAGAGAGTGTTGTGACGGCACCGAGTGTGAGCTCTTTCAAGAGAAGACTTGACCAACACTGGAGCGGGTTCAGGTACATTCAGGAGCTGGTGCATGCCCAGTATTTGCCAACAGTGCGTGACAGAGACGTGACCGATCGCCCGGGCGGCTAGCGAGCCGACCTTTTGGTGAAGAATATAAAGGAAAAGAGACGTGACCGATCGCCCAAGCGGCTAACAAGCCGATCAGTGGCGAAGAGGATAAAAGTAAAAAGTAAAAGTTCTCCATAAGCCCTGTTATTTCTATTACACGAATTTCTATAACACGATGTTTTACAAGAACACTACTATCGCGTTATAGCAGAACTACCTGTATACCAAAATCACTATCACTATCACCAAGCATTCCTAGGATGTCCACGTGAGCACTGTCATCACTAAACACACGTTCAGGAATACTGTAATGTGCTCCTGAACCTATACCAGAAGGCCTGGCCTCACTCAACTCTTGCTCCAATATCGGGCAGATATTGCACAGCATTTTACACACCCGTGGATGAATAACATCATTGTTACGCCGAAAAGTTATCAAAAATAGCCATAGAAAGTATACTGAACCTCCTTATGCTATACAATGCACCAAAACTAACAAGGAGGCAGCATCTGGGCGCGCGGATTGGCCGAGGAGCTGTGACATAGCAAGGGGAAATCCATTGTGATTGGCTACCTCAGGGGTATGGTCCGAGGGAGGCGCGCTGTCATTGGCTCGCGCTCCTCTCGCTCTGAACGGGAAGTTGCCACCTTCTTTGACTGAGCGCACAGCCAGATACGTAGCTCCAGGCCTGAGGCAAAATCACCCCTAATTTTGAAGGACTTTCTACCATATTTCTATTCTAGCTAGAGCGTTACATCCAACGGGTGAAAATAGTGATATCCATCAAAAAACGCATTTTGGCCAGAGTGTCACTTCAACCCCCTCTAATGCTGAGCGCCTCAATTCTAGTGGGTTATGAGAAACATAACATCAATTCTAGTGTGTGATGAGAAACATATTTCTAGTGGGTGATAAGAAACACTACTTCAATTCTAGTGGGTGATGAGAAACATAGTTCTAGTGGGTGATGAGAAACACTACATTAGTTCTAGTGGGTGATGAGAAATACCATCAACAAGGCAGAGTGAAGCCATGTGTCATCTTCATAGACTTCTGTGTAATTTTTATCCTAACCTAACATAACTTTAACCAAACCTAGCATAACGTAACTTAAGATAGCATAGTCTAACTTAAGATGACCTGACCTAACACAACTTAACCCAGCTCAGTAATGCAGTGTTTCTCATCATCCAACTCATGTTTTTCATCACCCAGGTCAGTAAAGTTTCTCATCACCCAGTTCTCTAATGCAATGTTTGTGTTCATGTTTTACTAGAGCTGTAAAAATACCCAAAATAACAATGCTGCACTATACAGTTCAATACTATGCTTTGTCAGGTAATGGAAGCTGTGTGTGTAATGCTGGACCTCAAGCCAGAGAGGAAGCCAGACCCTAATGGCTCAGGAAAAATGATTGAGGACTATTGGGCACCATCTCAGAAGCTGTTGGGGGATATGAAGTTCCTCCAGAACCTGCTGCACTATGACAAAGAAAACATTCCCACAAAGATTATCACTCACGTCCGCAACGAGTAAGTTCAAACATTATTTCCGTGATATGGTATTCATTAGGTAATTCATCTTTGCCATTAAGTATGACCAAGACAGAGGCTATCAGAGTGGTGTCGAGACAGACAGACCGATATGAATAAACTCATACTATTGAACAAATAAAATGCTGTAAAAAATTATCAACATTACTACTGTCTCAGTACTGTACTAACATGTAGCTACCTGATGCTTGCACTCAAGAGTGTGCATGGTTATTCAGGACGGATTACATCTTGGAAAATTTTCTTGTTATACCAGTATATTTTCCTTCACCCAATGAAAATGTAAAATAACAGTTGAAAATCTTGGTTGCTGGAACAGTGCTGTTGAATATGGACGCCTTGAGAATGACACACACAGTAATAACTGTGTAAGTCACACTACCTACTGTCACATTTAGAAATGACTGTTCTTCCACTTTAACCCTGAAACCTATTATAAACTCACAAAAAGTAAAGGAAATAAATGTTGAGACATTTTAAAATGTACTTATCCATTAATTTACTTATTCATGCATATGTATCTTATGCTCAGGTAAATACATACTATTGTTTCACAAGAAATCACAAAAAAATAAAATCCCTCTTTTATCTTTAAAGAAGACTTGAGTGACACATAAAACTGTGTGAGTACTGAAGTGGATGACTTAGGGACTTTCTACTTCCTGCCAGGTTCTACTCTCACCCGGATTTTGACCCAAAGAAGATACGTATGGTATCAATGGCTTGTGAGGGCCTCTGCCGATGGGTGAGGGCCATGGTTGTCTATGATCAAGTCATAAAGATTGTTGCCCCCAAGAAACAAGCTTTGGAGGCTGCCAACCATGAACTGGCCCCCCAGAATGAAAGGCTAGAGGAAAAGAGGAAGGAACTCAGAGAGGTAATGTGTGAACCGAGAAAGATGTGTGAAATAAAAGACATTGCATGTAGAACCATTTCAACATATAGAATTACTGTATGGTAGACTTAGTCATCATTATATTATGAAGACTACTATTCCTTCTACAGTATATGTTCATCTACCTGCAATATGTGCATGAGTCTGCTCAGGTGTTGTGAAACAAAAGTTTTTTAGTTAACCCTTTACTTGTCATATTCCTAGATCCATGTACGTGAGTGACCATCTCTGAGCAGTCCATTACGTAGATCAATGAATTTGACTTTTTAAATTTCCCACAGCATCTGAAATGGTCCAGAAGGATTAATATATTTAAAATATGGCACATGGTAACCTCTCAAGACACATTAGCCTGTATCAGCAACCTCTGTCCCTCCAAAATGCTTTGTTTACTAACCCTACCACCACTACATCCATCCAGTCCCTCCCCAAGTTTGCTGCCCACATCACAGGCTAACAAATATGCCCAGAGACTTTCTCACGTATGCAAGAACACAGTGTTACTTGAAAAAGTGCACACAGATGCTAGGTATTGCAGCAGTGAGTGTGATCTGGTAGAATGTTCCAAGAGTTCACAACTCTCACTCCGAAAAAGTTTGCCCTCACAGTTTTCTGGACTTGCGGCTTCTTCAGTCTTGAGCTGTGACCCCTTGTTAGGCGAGCGTCTGCCAGCTCCAAGTAAGAACACTCGACTGAGTAGTACCCCTTGAGATGCTTATACTACACCTCAATTAGGTCACCCCTTACCCGTCTGTAGTACAGGTTGTACCTCTCTAGTCCGGCATTCTGTGGTCCAGAAACTCCCGTGGTCCGGAACGATTTTAGTTTGTCCAATAGGTAGATAGGCAGCTTTCTTTTTCTTTTTTTTTCTTTTTTTTTTTTATCTGAATTATTATTATTACAGGAGTATTAAATTTTTGCCCCTCAGGCCCCAATGTGGGTCAGTGACTTATGCACAGGTGGGCTAATCTCCTTAAAAAAAACAAACAAAGCCACGGGAAATTAAGGTTTGTTTACATCTGGCTGCTCTCTCTCTCTGTCTGCTTGTCTATACAGAGGACAACATTTAACCCTTCAATATATATGAGCAGTAAATAAGTGTTGCTTTCATATTCTTATGTAGAGTAATGAGATATGTTTTCACATGTGCGCACTTACATACGCGCAGTCTCACTTTTTTTTTTACCATTAATGGTTAGCTACTTATATTGTTCCATTTATTAACATTAAATAACATTGCAGGTACTTCAAACAACCATATTAATTTTTTTACATTCATTTTACTACAGCTAAACTCAGGGTCTTATTTTCTTCAGTTTTATATGTAGAACCAATCAGTCACTGGTTTTGTAAGCTGTAACATAAACAATGCCGGCAGCCGTCTCGTCTCCTCTAATATTCCACGTATTATTAACAAATTGAATTGTTAATTTTGCACACACAAACATTACCGTATATCACGGCCTATAAGACGAAATTTGAACATTAAAAAAATCTGCCCAAAGTTAGGGGGTCGTCTAAACCACCAAGTTTAAAATTCTTACCTCTTAAATATTGTGGTTTAGTGTGTCAAGAGTGGTGATGAAAACATCGTAAGCCACTCACAAGGTCTTACCACTAATTATTTTATACTGAAACTTACGTCTGGCAAGCTGGATTCAAATTAAGATTACCGGTATATTAAAATAATAAAAATGTATTATAAACCTGTCTAACATACCATAAAAGAGATTTATACCCCTGTAATAAACACAGCTATCATCACACACCCCTCCCCACGCCCCCCCCATTTGCCAGTGAGGAGACAAGAAAGGGAAAGTGACCGCGAGATTGGGCTATTTTTAGCCGTGGAGGTGGTCAGTAATGCATACCGGTATCGGTATATTTACTCATAATAATATTTATCTCCTATAAATAATTGATTTAAATTTTATTTTTTTCCAAAGAATATTCAGTAAATGAGTGCATTAATTCTTGAAACTATCGACGGTTAATTACAGACGCTCAAGTGACGTCACTAGTGTTTACACTACACCAGCTGGTAATATTTGATGCCATTACTTGAAGTGAATTGGCCTTATTTTAAGTAACTAACTATAAATAAATACAAAAATTAAAAAAAAAAGATCAAAACTGAGAAATAATATAATGTATGTATGTTGTGTTGTCAAAGTAAGAGGAACAATTGTGTAAGTACGTAATATTTTTTCACTCAAATCCTAATGAAACACTACTGGAGAACATTCCTTTGTCGCAAAACAGTTTATAAATTAAAGAAAATAATTACAGTGTGTTTAATATATTACAGTATATTATAAATAAATAAATAAAACAAATAATTCGGTAAATCTATTTAAAGTAAATGGAAAATAAGCAAACATGTTATTTACCAAGACCCTTCTGTCTGGCTCAGGGTGAGATGTAGGGGAGATAAAGAAGGCTATTTATAGCCCATCAGAAGTGACCAGTACCCTAATGCACCATAAATAATTCATTGAACATTCATTTTTTGTACATAGTATATTCAGTATATATATATATATATATATATATATATATATATATATATATATATATATATATATATATATATATATATATATATATATATATATATATATATATATATATATATATATATATATATATATATATATATATATATATATATATATATATATATATATATTTGTGTAATAAATGTATGTAGTAAGTACATACTGGTAACCTTTTTCACTCAAATCCTAATGAAACACCACAATTAGAATACGGTGGTTGCTGTTGAATCACATGTTGTATAAATAGTCACACCACCGAGACGAGGGAACACTCCCAACACGCTTGAGTGACGTCACTAGTGTTTACACTACACCAGTGGGTATAATTTGATGACATTACTTGAAGTGAATTGGCCTTATTTTAAAAAATCAAGGATGGTTGGTAAAGGACTACTGAGTCAGTGGGTAAGTGTCACATTTGGGGTACTGGTCTTATACAGCAAATAGAGCTCAAAAGCTACTTTTTAAATGGAAATTTGGGGGGGGCGTCTTATGCACCCCGCCGCCTTATAGGCCGTGATATACGGTAATTCAATAAAAGCAAATTCAGAAACATTAATTAAAATATATATGAACAGTAAATAAGTGTTGCTTTCATATTCTTATGTAAAGTAATGACGATATGTTTTCACGTGTGCGCATGCGCACCTACATACGCGATCTCTCTTTTTTCCTTACCATTATCGTTAGCTACTTCTATTGTTCCATTTATTAACATTAAATAACATTACTTAAAACAACCATATTAATTTTACTACAGGTACAACCAAAGTCTTATTTTCTTCAGTTTTATATGTAGAACCAGTCAGTCACTGGTTTTGTAATCAACGAAAACAATGCTGTGTCATTTCCTCATGTGTTTTAATATTCTACATATTATTAATGAATTGTATTGCTCATTTTGCACACACAACATTAATTCAATAAAAAAGACATTCAGTAATGAACAATAATGAATCTTTTGTACATAAGAGGAATGACGCTGTTTACACGATTATGCACGTCGTCTGCACGTTGGCGGGCCGTTCAAACCCGTCGAAATTCAAGTTTCCGCCGTCAAAATTTTTATTTATTTATTTTTTTGTGTGTTCCAATAAAATACGTTAAGAATTAAAAACTCGCGAAATTTGAGAAGCTACTATACGATATTTAACCCTTCAATATGTCTTCAAAGAGACCATGATGCAGAGAAAGTGGTACTAGTGCTTCCAAGCATAAGCACAAGTCACTATCTATGCAGGAAAAGGGTGAATTTCCATGGTCCAGCACCAGTCAGATCCCGAGGTTGCCAGACTAGAGAGGTATAACCTGTATAAGCTAGGCAAGTTCAGGCGCTCCATTCTCTCATGGTAGTTGAGGACAATCAAAATTTGGTTTAGCTCAACTTGCTGTGAAAGTGGGAAAAGCTGGAGATGAGGTGGCCTGTGAGATATCATGTTTCCATTGTTACATGTAATCGAAACTATATTAGTTGTGAAAAAATCATTACAATACTCTAGTGTGGCTTAGAAATAAAGAAAATATCATATAAAATTATGTAATAAGAAAAATGAAGAGCATGGGTTTGTATGTGTGGGCAGTGATGTCACAGCATACACACAGTGCAGCAGGCACGCACACATCTCTAAGTCAACTGAGTGAGTGCTCAGCTGGTTTGAGTGTGGAAGGAGCTTGGTTTTTTTTTACATAAAATATGTGCTTTTGTTTTATAATATGCTATTTATCAACTTTATTGTTTATCTTAAAAGATGTTGTAGTACAGTACATGTATGCAATTTGAATTTTTGTGTTAATAAATCCGTCGTTTAACTTTGAAACTATTCGTAATGAACTCATTTATTATTATTAGGGACTTCAGTCCTCGCTGTTTACTGCCATGACATTTAAACCTGTTGCTTGTCCTCCATGCTTCGATGTTATCCTCATTTAGTAATAATTTTTTTTTAATGTTAGATTTTTCAGGAATGCAACCCCACCTACTTTGCTGTCTCTCAGAATCGAGTATGATGAGTAGTAGTAAGTGATGGCTGTGCATGAGTTGATTTATGTGGTGAGGCAAGAGCACAGACTGCAACCACACACCATGGCTCTCCCTTGTCCTGGTCCAGTGGTGCAGGTAGTTGCAACGAATGGGGAGGAGAGTTGCAATGGACTGCCAATAGCCCAGTTTGTTGGGTTTTGCCTTATTAGCCTGTCCATTTTGCATTGCCTTCATCTGCTGGTGTAGTCGTTGGGTTCCCTTGTTGGTTATCTCTTCCACCTACACTGCCATTGGGGTCTTACTGGAGTTCTGTAAGCATGTCTCCGCTTCAGATTTTTCGCTTAGGGTTTACACCCGTAGTCTTATACCTACCAAGGTTAATCTGCAAGGCAGTGGTTAGTAGGCACCAGGACATGTCCACATGCCTGTCGGTCTATGTGCTGTCCCTCTGGGGCCCACTGCTGCTCCGAGATCCCCTGCTGGTCTAGCCTGGCCCCACGAGGCACCTAGTTATCATGTGTTGCCACGAGGAGGCACAGCAGGAGTTTTGATGGTGAAGAGGCTGTGTACTGTTAGGGGAAGACTTACAGAAGGTTGCTTCTTTGTTCGTCATCAGAGGTAGCCAGCGGCGGCAGCTGAAAGCGAGAGGTAGCAAACAGTGCTTGCAGCTTAACACTAATATAATGCTGTCACACTAGATGCATTACACCACCCTGTGTGCACACACACACACACACTTTTAAATGAGGGATACTTGCACAGTATCAGACTACAGGTACAATTTACTGACATAAATTGTAGATACTTTTAAATACAGTAATACCCCGATTTACGCGGTCAATTGAACCCGCGGAGTAGCACGTAAAACGAGAAACGCGTAAAGTGAACAACATAACATATGGGATTAATTGAAATAGAGACCGGGCCGACTCCCAAACTACACTTTTTCAGACACAATACCTACGTTGTAGTAAATATAACATCTTAATTTTATGATGGTATGCACACAATTAAGAGAAATATCAATAATATTAGGTTTTTAACACTTACATTAGTAGAAAAGATGGCTGGGCACACGGGGATGGGGGGTTGGTTCCGAGGCAGAGGGCAGATTATTGGCCCTCACCTGTATCACTTGTATCAATTATATCACTATCCACCACAGAGGCTTGCAGGGCCTCATTGTCAAACCCCTCAAAGTCCATATCCTCACTATCACTGACTTGGGCCGGCTGTGGTGGGTGGCGGGTGAAGAACTCAGTAATGTTTTGATGACTGGGCGACCTTGTGCGCACCCTGCCGCGCCGCATTCCGGTTCTGGCGGGGTACCACGTAAATGTGGAAACGCGTAAACGAGAACTGCGTAAACTAGGGTATTACTGTACAGTGGTCCCTCGGTTAACGAGCACAATCCGTTCTAGAAGGTTGCTCGTTAACCGAAACCATTGTTTCAATGGGTTTTTGGGTAATTGGTTCCAGCTCACCGAAAATTACCTAAATTCAACAAAAAAGGTAGAAAAGTACACTTACTTTGAGGTGAGTATGTAGAAGGCTCGTGGATGATGATGATGATGATGATGGGAATTAGAATGGGGGTGGAGGAGAAGGGAGAAGAGAAGGAATTGGGGTGGAAGAGAAGTCACCCCATGGCGCCATTTCACCCATAAAATTTTAGTTCTCTTGGTGTAATTCAAGATTATTTTCTTTAAATCAACACTGCACTGCATCATATATTGTCAATATGTAAAATAAATTTCAAAATGACCAACAATTTGCCTGTAAACACAGAAAAAAAGCGTTTAGTTGAAGAGTCTCTCAAGCAAGATGTTACCTCCACTGAAAAGACACAGATTGACGCCTGTATGCTGTGTTGGCAGGCTGGATGGCGTGCCACAAACTAGTGACCCTACCTTCAATTATGTTCAATAATTGTTTATATAACTAAAAAAAATTAATATTAAACTTTTAAAATTATTTAATAGTATAAACTTCTTGATATTTACTAAAAGGGTAAGGAATTTGAGCCCTAGAACCGATTACTGTATTGGCGGACTAATACTACAGCTGGTGGACCGCCAAATGCAAGCTAAAACATGTGGAGGTCGGCTCGTAAGATACTCGTTAATCGAGGGATTGCTCGTTAACCAAAGTTAAGAATCTTATGGAAGGTAACTCGTTAACCGAAATCTCGTTAACCGAGGCGCTCGTTAACCGAGGGACCACTGTATACTTTTAAAGAAAACTTAAAGATGCTTGACAAAGTATATGTGAAGCTCATAAAAGTGTTAGAATAATGTTTCATATAGTTGGCATTATATGGGATTCAGGTCTACTAAGCATAAATTTTGAGTAGACTGATATAATAATATGATAAAGAACTCACTCAAGAGGCCTATGCTGTGCTTGTTTGTCTTACTACCTTATTATGCATTCCTTCAGGCTAAAGTTCTTCCAGCGGTGGGCGGACGAGAAAATCCCCGACATATTCTGGTTTTCTGGGCTGTTCTTCCCCTACTCCTTCCTCACGGGCATACGTCAGAACTATGCCAGGAAACATGCCATACCCATCGACAGGATTGACTTCCTGTTTAAGGTTACTACTTTTATATCTAGTACCATATTATGTTTATAATGTAATTATTTGTATGGTAATATTACAAACAAACAAGTGCCTAGTTTGTAAGGTTCAAAGACTGGACAAGCACCACAATGAACATCTTGACACTTATTCTTCTTTATTAATTAACTTTCAATTATCACAGTAGCCATCATCAGTGCAATCTATAGAAAAGAATCAACAATGATAAGATAAAACAAGACACATGACTGTTATAATATTAAAAAAATTAAACTATTAAATCAAAAGACAAATTCAAATCATGACTGGAGACTAGTTGAAAAGTGTAGTGAAGTTAAATGCAGTTATAATAACAACAATTTTAAAAATACACAATGAAACTAAAACAAATATATTATGCTAAATTGGAAAAATCGCTTACTTATTTACCTAATGACCACCCACAAGAAGTAGCTATGACAAGGGAAGGAGGCCAGTGGCCTGTGTAGGATCCCTCCAGTGTTCATGTTAATTTTGTAGAGGGTTATTTGAAGCCCAGTACTGTTCATGATTCTACAGCTTGGGCTGGTAGACCATTCCAGGTCTCACCATCTGTGTGAAGAAGTATTTCCTGATATTTGTTCTGCAAGATAGTTTGACGAGTTTGTAATTATCTCCTTTCAGGATATTGTATATTTTAATGAAATCTTCCATATTGTGCCTTGTCTGAAAGATCTACTGAACTTGGATAATCGAGATGATATACAGTAGTTCTGGAATCATCTTGATTGCTTGTGCTGGACCTTTTCTAGGGATGTTATATCTTTCTGGAGGTAGGGTTTCCATGCTTGTACGCAGTAATCCAGACTGGGACATACTTGAGAGTTGTATAGTTCAAGGAGAATTTTTCTATCATTACCTGTATATTCAAAGGTACATTTATAATTCCCAAATCTCAATTTGCTTTTCTCACTACTGGAGTTACTTGTTGTGCCACCTTCATTGAATGACTTATCACAACACCAAGATCTTTCTCCTTATTGACAGAATCCAGGAAAGTGTGAAGGGACTTGCATTTTGTAATGTTAAAGACCATTTGCCAGTCTCAAGTCCATTTGAACAGCTCATGTGGGTAATTTTTGCCTTGTTGTGACATGTTCTTGACTTCTTTGACACCAATTGTCATTGGGTAAAGACAAAGGTGGCCAATCTAACTATCCAAAAAGGTGGAGGTAAAAATAAACTTACATTTGTTTTAGTGCAATATTACTCAGTGCCTACCAAGGGCAGACACATGATGACAATACTGCTCCTGCATGCCTACTACAGCTGTCACATGATGACAATACTGCTCCTGCATGCCTACTACAGCTGTCACATGATGACAATACTGCCCCTGTATGCCTACTACAGCAAACACATATTGACAATACTGTACTGCCCCTGTATGCCTACCACAGCAGATGATATAGCTACTATAGCAATATATGTTCATTCAAGCCTTTTCTCAATGTAATGCCTGAAACCAGAATCAAGATCAGACACACACACAGGTTCTCTCAGAAATTGGATGTCATTCATGAATTCTTATTACAGTATCAGATGTGTTCTATTATGGTACTTCCCTTCAACCATCAAGTCCCAAATTTCTATCTGGTTTACCCGTCACTAAAAATCTAGCATCACCCACCAGCAGCAGCAGCATATGCTTCCCCAAATATCACTCACTGACATGCTCTCTAGTCATTTATGTACATTGCTGCTTCAGTAAAGTACAGTACTGTAAATTATATAAAATTTAATCTCATTTATCATAGGTTGTGTAATAATTTTGTACTGACAGCATACTCACTGTATACTCCATATGCATTTACACCAACAGGTAATGGAAAAGGAGGTGGAAGATATCATCCAGGAATGTATCAGACCCAACTTCGTGGAGTTGCCAGTGGTGATCGAGCGGCTGCCCACGCCAAATGTGCAGGGGCAGTACTACCCCCTCGACACTGACCTCGAAGACAACGAATCGCTTCCTTACGATAACGACTCCCCCCAGCTCAAGAAGGAGGGTGACCAGGTAACAAAATGCAGAAACAGATATCAAAAGCCAGGCTAATAACTTTAGTACAGGGATTGAAGGAAGGAAGGAAGGGAAAGTAAGTAATAAATCAGAGAGAGAGAGAGAGAGAGAGAGATAAACCAGATTAAGTGGAAGGGAGTATTCAGGAAAGGATGAAGAGTAGAGTCAGGTAAACTAAAAGGCTGTCTTGGTAAGAATTGGACTATGAGGATGGTGAAGACAGAATGGGAAATGAAAGATTAGTTATCAAAAGAGAACCACATAACAGAGAGGGAAGAGCTTGATAAATAATGAAGGAAGAGAGACCAGGTACAAGCAGAAATAGATAAGGAAGGATGACAAGATAACAAGTGGTAGAAGGATGAAGAAGGAACTGAATAAGGAGGGAAAAGGTAGCAAGATCATGAAAGGAGAAGGATAAATCTTACCAAGATGACAGGTATGCTAATAGACAAAGGAAAATGGCATATGTGTGCCCTATATTCAAACAGGGTGATTAACACGGCTCAAACAATTAAGGTGTAGCCTTCTGGAGTCATCCTACTTCCAGAAAAAATAAATAGAAGTTGGAAGTTACACAAGCCCCATCTGTACAAGCAGCCTAAATAATTGTGGCTATCTTGTCATCAGATTTACTACCTCACTTACTGTTACATACTACAGGTACTCCTCCACTTACGAACGTGTTACGTTCCTGAGGCTTGCTTGTAAGTCCATCTTTGCTCTTGTAGATACCAAATATATTGTAAAAAATGAAAATATTATGGATATATAGTACAGCTATACCCTTTAATACAGCTTTAAAACCTGGCTCACTCTTCTCCTCTTAGGTAATGTTTGTTCTATCTGGAATTTTCTTCAAAATAGTCCAGTCTCATCCACATTAAACACCTGTTCTGGCAGGTAACCCCCCCTCAGTGATGGTGTTTGTATCTCTGAAAGTTTGTAAGTTGAATGTTCTTAAGTAGAGGAGCACCTGTACAGTAATATCATTGTAATGCATTATTTTAAGAAAAATGGTACCAACCAATCATGTGTTATGGCTTTAGTTTTGTTGGAACCTGAACCCTTTTCTGGTTACTAACTGGACTGTAATCAATCCAAAACACTCAATGGTATGAACATAACACTGAAGCACTAAGATTTCAGTATCATATGTTTTTTGCTACAAAATACATACAGAGATATCACACATTTTATAGTAAGCATTCCAAAACACTTACCCGGTAATGATACACACATTAACACTTGATCCATACTTGGTCGGGTTCTGGAATGTTAAATGTCACCCCTGGTCGTCTAAAAATTTGGGGGAGGACTTAAAAGATGCAATTTGGCATATGAAACTTTAGAACAACACTAATTTTGGCTGTACTCACCATTTTGGAGTTTGCAGGATGGGAAGTATGAAGCATAGGGTTTGTGGCTGTGTGGCATAAATTACCATGTTGCTACATCGTCATGTTTTCTACTCGTGGATTTATATCTTCACTGTTCCACTCACCTAATTTTATCACTTTTTTAACTTATGTATGTCTAATTTATTCATAACAGTGATTAGAGATACAGTTTTATTGCTTCACACTAACATTATTTACATTATGAACTGGCACTAGCGCATCTGACTGCGTATTACTACTCACACACACCTGACCCTGCAAAATAAAGCAATTTTTTTTCTAAAAACCTAAGTATGTAAATGCCTAGCATTAACTCACCAGGCCAACATACAGGCAATTAAAACATCTAATAATTACTTAAATACGTAATATTAGGAGGACACGTCGCTACCTGGCATTTAATAGCAGATTTCGTTGTCTTAAGCAAGCCAAATGGTGAAATGATCATATAGGATGACCTGCCTGTAGCAGGTGTTGCTAAATGTCATTCTCCTTTCCCTACATGAAGGAGGGATTGTACACACACTGTTTGCTGTACTGTACATACACTCTCTACATACTAGCATACACTGACCACTCTGCTATATGTACTACTGTACATATGGTACTTTCACTTTCTGAATGTACAGTACTGTACTTTACAGTGTGCATGAATATAATTACTTTTTACATCTTAATTAACACTATTTAAATGGTAGTCTTGGCTGATTATATGCTGGTACAGTACTGCACAACACAGTTTGTGAGCAAACAAGCTACTACTCTCATGATGCTAGAGTTTGAGGAGATAGACTGCAAGATACATCAGCCAATTTTAGGCATCCCATGCAGTCATATGACAGTACAGGTACAGAGTAGTAGCCAATCATAGCTCACGAACATTTTGAGTCTACCCACCCATATGCTCGGCACATGCCGATGCACGATGCAATTTTTCGGAAATTTGTTTGAATGCCCAGAACGGAGAGATTTTTCTTGGAGTGCTCAAAAAAATAAAATAAATTTCAGGGTAAAGGAAAGCCTTGAATTACGATGATTCATATTTAAAACCCTGGTTAGTTTAAGACCTGGTTCAAGTTACATAGTTATTTTACAGGTATCTCTTACGTTACAGAAACTCAGGTTGCGGAAATTCGCCCATAGTACTCATTTTGTAAATTATGACCTCTATATTTGGGATATAACCTGCAATTAAATGCCAGGTAGCGACGTGTCCTAATATTATGTATTAAGTAATTATTATTTGTTTTAATTGCCTATATGTTGGCTTGGCGAGTTATTGCTAGGCATTAACATACGTAGGTATAAAGCTAGATGTTGCATTCTGGACTATATCACAAAAACTGCTTTTTTAGAAAAAAAAAGTTTTTTTTTATGGTCATTTGCCCACCCGGGCACAGGTAATTTTTAATGACCCACATCAAGGCCTGGGGGGGGGGGAGGGATATAATAAATTAATAATAATAAAAATTATAAATACTGTAATAATAATAGAACCATAAATAAAAAAATAAAAATAATTAAAAAAATATTGAGTGAGAAATGATATATGTATGTTGTGTTGTCAAAATAAGAAAACAATTGAAACCCTGGGATAAATTATAAAAAATTTCAACACAAAAATTGTGATATAGAACAAAAAATGTTTTACAGAAATTATAATTTATTAAGGCTGAAAATCAAACTGGAAGGGTACGGAATTCTGGGAAATGTCCTAGTGTAGATAGATGACCTTCTACATGACCGCAAGCAATGTGTGGTGATTAATGGCACGAAATCATCATCTGTACCTGTCACAAGTGGGGTACCACAGGGCAGTGTACTGGGCCTGCTGTTGTTTGTTTCATAAATGACATGCCTGACATTGTACACTCCTACATACAAATGTTTGCCGATGACGCCAAGTTATTTCAGGAAAGCAAGAACCAAGCAGACTGTGAAGAGCTGCAGAAGGACCTCTGTGGGCTCCGAGAATGGTTGAAGAAATGGCTGCTGAAATTCAATGTCACGAAGTGTAAGAGGATGCACCTGGGGCATACCAACGGTAAGGAGGCGTATCATATGTCCCAACGGGATGAAGAAACTGCACTATTTGAGACTGAATGTGAGAAGGACCTAGGTGTGTATGTTGACAATGAGCTAAAGTTCTCGGGCCATTGCGAGGAGAAGGTAAATCAGGCAAATAAATTATTGGATCTTATAAGAAGGTCGTTAAGATATCTAGACATTCCGTCCCTCGTAACGATCTTCAAGAGTGAAGTGCTTCCCCATCTGGAGTACTGTCACCCTGTCTGGTCCCCGAGATATGCTACGGACTGTCAGTTGATTGAAAATGTTTAAAGGAGGGCCACCAGACTGGTGCCTGCACTTCGGCACCTCAGCTACCCTGAGTGATTGGAGAGCCTGAACTGCCTAGCTTATACTACAGACGGGCAAGGGGAGACCTAATTGAGGTGTATAAACCTCTCAGGGGGCACTAAGTCGAGTGTCCTTACTTGGAGCTGGCAGATCGGTTCACAAGGGGTCACAGCTCAAGATTGAAGAAGCCGCAAGTCCAGAAAACTGTGAGGGCAAACTTTTTCGGCGTGAGAGTTGTGAACTCTTGGAACAATCTACCAGAAAGTGTTGTGATGGCACAGAGTGTGAGCTCTTTCTAGACAAGACTTGACCAACACTGGAGCAGGTTCAGGTACATTCAGGGGCTGGTGCATGCCCAGTACTTGCCAACAGTGCGTAACAGAGACGTGACCGATCGCCAAAGCGGCTAACGAGCCGATCAGTGGTGAAGAGGATAAAAGAAAAGGGAAAGTAACAGAGACGTGACCGATCACCCAAGCGGCTAACGAGCCAATCAGTGGTGAAGAGGATAAAAGTAAAATAAGTTAAGTGTGCCTTGATTAGTGACTCGGTTCAGCTGTGATCTGGTCTTCAACCCCATCCCTCACTACCTGTTACCTTTTATGTAGGCCAACAATTTTTTTTCTTCACTTTCCAGACGGTGAAAGTCCCAACTGAACAGCAGGAAAAGGAAGACAACGAGAATGACTCACAGAGCCAAAGTCATGAATCTGATGACGTCATCTACCAGGTCATCCCTCGCCAAGCACAGGGAGGCACCTACACATGGGTTAGTAGGATGATAGATTAGAAAATAATATTAGAATAGAATAAGTAGGGGTTCAGGGGTTGGGCTCTTAATAATAAGGGTAGGGTTGATTGCTGGATAAATTTTTCCCAATAGTATTAGCAGATAGTCGAGCTTTACACAGTAACACACCTTGGATAAAACTCATTGGTTACGATATTGCCACTGCGCAAAGCTGGGAGAGGATTTAGATATTTAAGCTATACACCTAATAAGCAGGACAAAGACAAGTGAGGGCATCTTTGTTAGAATACCAGGCAAGTGAGGTTGCCTGGGTAGGTATATTATAGGTCAGGTAAAATAACCAAGATCAGTATGCATGATATGTCAAACAGTCAATTGGGTTATACCCATGTCATTCCAGTATGACAGACAAAGCAGTATGGCAGAAGAGTTTTCTACACCCAACATGCAGCCCCTTAATACCAATGTGCTCTTGTGCAGGGCTTCCTCCTGGAAGGTGCACGCTGGGATCGTGAACAACATTGCTTGGCGGAGATGTCAGCCAAGCAGCTACATGACCAGTTACCTATCATCCTTTTCCAACCTGCTGCCCTCCCAGACATGTCACACCATGAGGGTATGTGCCCCCAACACACCTTCTCTTTACTCATTCCTTTACCTTGCCCTACATGTTCAATTTAATTTTCTTTATCACTGAGTCAGACCAGGTATTCTCATCAAGGTGATTTAACCATATCATTGGTTAAGATTTTATGGGTACCTGAAAATTGCTCCATGTCAAAAGTAATGATATGTCAGTATACTATTTACAAAATGAAATTTGGTTTATGTACTTTATAATAAAACCTAGATTTCAAACTATTTGAAACTATTGAATGGATATAACCTAGAATACAGTAGACAATTTTTTTCTGCAAATTGTTAAATGACTGGATTATTTTTATACACCAGTTATTCCTGTTCTCAGTGGATTTAAATGTAAATTAAGTGGTATACGTATACGTTTTAGTTTATATCGGCAAATATATCTTGGTGACAACTTTATTCACAGCAAAAAGAAAATCTTTACTCCTTTAGATTTTGAGATAAGACTACTGGTATGGTATGTCAAATTTTAAATAAATCATATTGATATTTAATACACTTAGTGGAGCTTACCAAAAATAAACACTCGTGACTTCTTTGCATGAAACACGAAGGGAATGTTCATTACAAGTGAACATAAAATTAAAATAATTTTTGAGCAGTTTGTTAAGATACTGTCATTAGTTACATAACCAAAATCTTTTGAAGGAATATGTAACCAAGAACTTATAACTTATGATTCACAAATTTTGATGAGTCTGAGATGTTAATGACATTTCTGCTAACTGATGTTTTATTTAGATTAGCCACACTCGTATATTGTCCTGAACTTATTTGCACAAAAATACATCACTCGGATACTGAAGTAGAATGATTCAGCTTAGTGAATGCCAACAAACTCTCGATAATCTGGACTAATTGGAAGAAAGTTGATTCATAAACTACTTATTTTTATACATCATCAAATTGCCTGAAGATTTTCATAGCGTTGTCTGCAGGTGTGAGCTGTAAATATGAAGACCAGGCAGAAGAGAAAGGCATGTACCACTGCCCTGTGTACCGCACCAGCGAGCGGAGTGGCACACTCTCCACCACAGGACATTCCTCCAATTATATCCTTGATTTGATCCTGCCTTCCTCCCTCCCATGCCACCACTGGGTCAGTCGTGCAGCAGCAGCCCTTACCCAATTAGATGACTGAACCCCATGTATTTATCAGCAAGTCATCTTCAACTAACTGAATGACTGAAGATCATTTGCATACGTCACCCAACTGAATGGTCTATACTCTACTATGAATGAGCTGGATGACTGAACTCCATCTACATGCCACCATTTCTCAGTTGGATAAGTGAACATCATCTTAATTTGTAATCACTCAGAAGGATGAGAACTTCGTAACACATTACTACCATCCAGTTGGAAGCCAAACCAACATCCACACCATATGACAACAGACTGGCTAACCTAAAGTAAACCATATCTTCTCCAACTAAATCTAACTTTCTATATATTCCTAAACAAGGTGTCATGAACATTTTAAGGCATATTTTGTATCAGAGACAGAATATTGGCAATTTTCCTTGGCACTAGAATCAGACTTTGCCATGAAGCTTGTTGGTGTGATCAAACTACTTAACACTATATTACCTAAAACATATGCATTGTACATGCATAAAGAACTAATGTAATGCTGTATACATAATGTAATGGATCCACATGGTAATTTTCTGCCAAAACTTTTCACTACTATTGCCTGACCTGCCAAGGTGTGGTGTGTGTTCTTGTGCAGCGGACAAAGAAAAATGTTTTTTATCTTGTGCCTTGTCAGTTTTTCTGAAAACATTGAAATAATTCACAGATAAAGAGAATGATACGATACTAAGAGTAATTATCAGAACAGAACAGAACAGACCATGCCATTTAAGAGAGAGAGATGGCATTGGAAAGGTTATGCCTCCCAAATCCCAACCAGCAACTAAAATGAACTGAATCACAGATCTTTAGGCAATAGCTGCATGGGAAGGATGCATGCCCAAGTCACAGCTGAATGGCTGGGACTAGTGCACTGTCTTCAAATGCCCTGAGAGCACAACATCGCTAACAAAAACCAACAATATTGTACTACCCCACACACTTACAAAACTGTACCACCAACAGCAATAAAAAATAATAATGCCATTACCACCAATATATATATATATATATATATATATATATATATATATATATATATATATATATATATATATATATATATATATATATATATATATATATATATATATATATATATATATATATATATATATATATATATATACATATATATATATATATATATATATATATATATATATACATATATATCATATATTACAGTGAACCCTCACTTTACGCGGTTAATTCAACCCACAGGGTACCGCGGAAAGTGAGAAACCTGTAAAGTGAACAACATAACATATGGGATTAATTGAAATAGAGACCGGGCCGACCCCCAAACTCCACTTTTTGACGACACACAACTATGTTGTAGTAAAAATATTATCTTAAATTTATGATGGTATGCACACACAATTAATATAGAAGAGGTTAGGTTAGGAAAAATAAAGGTTAGGTTAGGAAAAATAAAGGTTAAGTTAGGAAAAATAAAGGTTGGGGTTAACACTTACGTTAGTAGAAGAGATGGGTCGGCGTATGGGAATGGAGGCTGGTTCCGAGGGAGAGGGCAGGCTACTGGCCCTCAGGTGAGTCACCATCACTGTCATCCACACTTGTCAGGGCCTCCCTGACAAATCCCTCAAAGTCATCATCACTGTCTCTACCTCTGTCAATATCACTGGCTTGGGCTGGCTGTGGTGGGTTGCAGGCGAAGAACTCCGTTATGCTTTGTTGACGGCTGGTTTTTATGTTGTCGTGATAAACCTTGATGTACGGCTCCATAGTCTGCAACAGCTGAGTAGTGAAGATTTCATACCTGTTTGCGTCAGGGTCGTCGGAAAGGAGGAGCTTGGCTTTCTCGACACACTCGATGGCACCCCTAACATTACTATGGGATAAGCGGCGTTCTTCTTGGGATGACGCACCACCTGCCTCTTCACTGACGTCATCATCATCTACCATGTCGTCGGTAGTCACATCAGGATCCCTTATCACCTCCAGGATGTCGTCGTTGGTGGTCTCGGAGAACCCTGCAGCTGTAACACTCTGCGCAGCTTCTCTGGCAAGGTCCACTGCTACTTCAACAGTCTGAACCTCACCAGTCACAGATTGACTCTGCCTAACGCCCAGAATGCCTTGCAACACGTCTCCATGCGTGACGAACAGTTGCTACAGACAGCTGATCCCATGCCTCCACCAAGAAGCCCACTGCTTTCTTGACGTTGAATATTCTCCAGAATTGTTTTAAAAGTACTTCGCTCTTGCTATCGGTGTTGGTGTCACTCAGGTTACGCAATTCTTCCCTGGTGTTGGTGTAGTCGTTCAGGAGCTTGAATTTTTTAGTAGAGAATGCAGCTTTTACATTACAGATTAACTCTTGGTCCGTGGGCTGTAATATAGACGTAGTGTTGGGAGGAAGGAAGACCACTTTTACGTTGGGGTGACGATCTAACATTAGGGGCGAGTGTCCTGGTGCGTTGTCCAGCAGCAACAAAATCTTGAATGGCGCATTCTGTTGCTCACAGAATTTCTTCACATCGGGAACGAAACAGTCATCAAACCAGGAGAGGGACAGTGTAGAGAACATCCACACCTTACATGCGATCAGCCAGTGGACATTTAGCTTGGTCATGTCCATGCTCTTGTAGGCGTGCGGCTTGCGTGCTGTGTGGATCACCGATAACTTGAGCTTACAGGTACCGGAGGCATTGGTGGTAAACAGGACGGTGATGCGCTCCTTCTGCAACTTCCGACCCCGACACTTGCTGGCATTCTTCACAACGAAGGTCTTGGAGGGTAGTTTTTTCCAAAAAAGACCAGATTCGTCCATGTTAAACACCTGGTCGTCGGTGTACTGTCCTTCCTCCATAATCTCTCGTAAAAACGGAGGAAATTCCCTAGCCGTAACACGGTCAGCACTAGCTTCTTCACCACCAATGTTTATATTGGTGATCTTGTTTCTCTTCTTAAACCTCTGTAACCACCCAGAGGAAACATTAAAGGGTTTGGGCTCTGTAATTCCCATCTTTCTTGACACTGCAGCATACAGTTCACGTGCGTACTCCTTAACTGAGCGCGTGTCCACCGCCATGTTCCGTCGCGCCTGACGCACCAAGTAGCTCACAAGTAATTTTTCCGTCTTGAGAAGCACCTGGTTGTGGAAATACTTGATCATAGAAGCACCTGTAGACTTTGTGATGTTCATGTGCTTCTTTATCTTGGCTGCATCCTTCTTTATCGTCCGGATCGTAGATTCGTTCACACCATGCTGGCGCGCCAAATCAACCTGTCTTGTTCCTTTCTCCAACTCTTGGATGATCTTGTACTTCACCTCGTAGCTTAAGGAACGTCGTGTCTTCTTTGGCTTAGGGCGGCTGGGTCCAGGTAATGCAAGGTTTCTTTGTGGTGGTGGTCCGGTGGAAGCCATTCTTATGGAACAATGGATACCGATATACACGGTGTAGCCTGGAGGGGTGTAACTGACGTGGTAGGTCGAGGGGCTTGAACGCTCCCGCGGCGGGGCACGTCATAGTACTACATTAAACGAATTACAGCTAGCAGGGAGGGAGATAAGGATGCTTTGCCTAATCACAGTCCGCTACGTCATATGACGTCACCGATAACGCAACAAAGACATACACTGCGCAACCTACTCGCGCCGCTTACACAACATGGCAGATGGCGGGAGGTTTGGATCCAAAAATGGCGAGGCGCGAGAGAACCGCCAGCCGCTCTCCGCGTAAAAGGGTACACGCACCGCGGAAAGTGAGCATTCCGGTTTCGGCAAGGTACCGCGTAAACGCATAAAGTGGTACCACGTAAAGCGAGGGTTGACTGTGTGTGTGTGTGTATATATATATATATATATATATATATATATATATATATATATATATATATATATATATATATATATATATATATATATATATATATATATATATATATATATTGATAAAATCACACGGGAAAAAGGGAAACAGCGGAGCACCTTAGCTTTCGTCTTTATTCAAGACATCTTCAGAGGCAACTGGATTACATGGACAGAGAGAGGCTTAAATATGCAGGGTGACCTTATTAAACATGAGGTCAGGTCATAATGATGTCATCCACTAATCCCCACACCAACACACACGTAGAGGAGCTTAAGAGAAGGGGGCGACGTGACTAGTCAGGTCAGGTCAAAAATAAGGGACCCACTAAATAACTATCCTACATCTAGATCAAAGGTTTTCAAAGCATTTTTAACCTTGAGCCACTGACAAATAAATTTATGTAACATATTATCAGTTTTTAACTGACCATCACTAATGTTTATTGATTTTAATTCCTTAACCCTTTGAATGCGGCATGCGGGTAAACCCGCCCAAAATATTATATTAATTAAATGCGACAAGCGGGGATATCCCACGGCCTTGAAAAAACTTCCCCAAATGAGACGACATGCGGACATATTATGTATTGAGGTATAGGAGTATTTCCTGAATGCAATATAGCTTATTTTTGTACTATTTTGTTTGATATTATCTGAATTTGTAATACATATCTAAATTTGCTGTTTAGTAACCAAATTGATTAAATTTATTTGCCATATACCAGACATTGATTTATACCAATTTCCTGCATTTTTGGGTATAAATGTCATTTTTTCTCTAAAATTTGCACACATATGTGAATTTTTGTTCCAGATTTGGAAAATATACAAAAAGTTCTCTAGGAAAAACATATAGAAAATGTGATTATATGAAATTCATTTTTGGCAGGATAATTGACACTTTTCAGGAACCGGCGCGAAATTTAATTACGCACCTAAAGGGTTAATCAAACTAGCTTCAACCAGAAGTCTTTCTGTGACACAAGATGATTTGAATACTTCGAAGCTTTTTTCCCAAGCAATGGGATGATTATTATTCCTAACATGAATGAAAGCAGTGCCCTGTTCGTTCATGACGGTTAGCATTCCCCGGTCACAGTCATGGGCTCGTGGGCCGTGGGTTCGAATCCTGGTAGGTTGAGGTGTTGATTGTTTGTAGAAGTCCGCGTGTTTATTGGGCTAATGAAATATATATACATATACAGACAGACCCCGACTTACGACTGCTACGACTTACGACCGTCGGGACTTACGACCGCCGCAGATTTTTTATTTAAAAAAAAAAAAAAAAAAAAAAAAAATTTTCTTCAAATGACACGCATTTTCTATACCGAAACGTTTCCAGTTAATGTAGTCTCCATGTATAATTAGAAAATGATGGGGGCCCCATGTGCATTCAGCTGACTACATTAAAGGTAAGTGCTCAGTCGCACTGTAACCATTCCTTATTATTTATTACTTT